CCGCAGTTCAAGTCCTGGACCCGGTAGCTTAAACTCAAGCCGGGCGTGTGTGCGTGCATGCCCAAGATCCCGAGAGGAGAATGGAGGAAAAGGGATTGCGGCATGGCCATCCCCCCCTGGGGGGGTGATTTCTCGCTTTCTATCTCTCGGTCTCTGTCTTTCTGGCAAGCGCACGTGCCCTATAGTGAAAACCTCTCCAAAAATTTTTTAAAAAAAGAAAGAGTAATGCTATCCTATATGCTTTTCTTTCTTCATTTTAATTTTTGCCAGAGGATTTATGTACTCACCAGAAACAGAGAGAGGAGAAAAGTGAGAAAGCATATCCCCATAAGGAATGATCACTCCACAAACCTCTATGTCCTCCTCCTTTCACTACTGTGAAAACCACACATGCCAGGTGTTTCTGAGGGTCCATCAACAGATTGCCTACCGCCATGTGGGATCCAGACACCATGTGGGATCCAGACGATTCAACCACCATGGACTGGCCCTCTCTCTATATGCTTCCTAAGAGGGTCAGATCAAACTATGGCAAACACCAGGTTTCTGGCGTTATGATCCTGACTACATGATAATCTGTTTAATTCTATAAAACTTAAAATTCAGCGGCCAGCAGGTGGCACAGTGGTTAGGGTGCTGGACTCCAACATGGCCAACAACAATTGGAGTCCCAGACGCCAGCCTTGAAATACCCTGGGCGTGTATGCCTGTGTGCCCAAAATCCCAAGAGGAGAACGAAGAAGGAACTGCAGAGTGGCCATTCCCACTGGGGGGTGACTTCTCGCTTTTTCTGTTATCTCTGGTGAGTGCAGGCGCCCTACGGCAAAATTCTCTTTAAAAAAAGCATGTTAAAAGTTCAAACTACCTAAATGCAGGGTGTTTGAGTGCATTTAATAACTGATCTGTACTAATCTGTATCTTTCTTTAAAGTATATGCTTTGCCAACAACTAATTAAACAGCTACATCAAAACATAAAAATAGGACATGAGAGAGGAGACGAATGCTTACTCCTGGCAAACCGTAAGGATCTTAAAAGAGAAGAGGAAAGACGTTAAGTTTATAGGGAATTTCCGAGGTACCAGTCCGAGTTTCCAACAGGCTCTCAGCTCTCCGCAGCCCCTCAAGTCCCGGAGCACCCGAGTGCGGCCAGGCTTACAAGAGCATCAGGAAAGCGCTTGGCAACGCGCCTGGCGCTATGCGCCTTGACGCGCACTATTTTCCTGTCTCCGGACTTGGCCAGAGAAAGAAGAACCGACACGAATTTGGAGCCGAAACAAAACTAGTTCCTGGAAAGAGGCCAACCGGCCCGGGCGGGGGAATGTACCACACCGAGGACGCGGAGCTGGCCGTGGGCACGCTCGAGAGCCCGAGGAGGGTGCCTGTTCCCTCCCGCCGCACGCACGCCTTACCGGAGAGCCGCGCCAGGCCGCCCGCGCGC